TTTCAATTATCATGTCATCTCGCGTATCGTTTTTTGAAGACCATAATAACCAGTTTCGGTCAATACGAAAGTAGAATATGACAGGAAACTCAGGAAGAACTTGGAACTTGAGTGAAATTGCATACCCTGTTTATGACAAGAAGCTCAAAAAACCATACCCTGTTCAGCGGATCATCCCCATATCATCCATATATGGGAGTACCCCCTCCCCCCCGGGCTTAGAACCCACCACACAGAACGTTTTTGCACAATCTTAACTTGGACTATTTTATTTCAAAGGCAGGGCTTGGTTCATGGGACACTGATTCAATTTTACTGTCACAATAACTGGTTGTTCATAAGTCAAATTTTCTTATTTTTTAGTTCAAACATGCTGAACTAAATGACCTTTCATCATATTCATTGCAATCAAACGTTTTTTCTAGTCCCTCAAAGGAATAAAAATAGAAGGTACTTATAAAAAACATATTTTCTAACCCCAAAGCGCATGACATAGTTAATTCAGTTATTGTAATGTTTTTAGCTTTTCTTTACACCTATTTTGGTAAAAAGACGTTGAATACTGAATGCTGCATAGACTGAATAGTGTATTCCAAGACTGAAATGCATTTTGGGTCTGATGTAATATTGACTAAAGTAAAATAAGTAAGAGTTAATTACCGAGAACAGAGGCAATAAGACATATTGGCTTATTGCCGACGTTCAAGGTAATTAAGTATTTTATTTATCAAATGAGAAGGTTTTCTATCAAATGTTGCTCATAGTAAATGCAAAGTCTATATATAGTTATTAACCAGGTTAATAATTGACTATATATTGACCTCGCATTTATAATGAGGGTTATAACAAAAATAAAGCCTCGTGAATAACAAAGAAAACTTTGTCAATTGAGAAATAAATGATAATTATGAAATAATATATACTGAAACAATATATACTAGCTATATATAGAGAGCAAATCACTATATATGCTTTTCATTTCAAATTAACAAGACCCACAATGCCCTCTGGTCTTGAAACGCACTCTTAATCAAGCAGTATTCTAACAGTATTCAACATTTATTGTTGTTTATACTTACAGCAGTTACCAAAAGTTTGTCATTCTGAGCCTCAAGAATAGCATGAGATCTTGAAACCCTTTTGTCAACAACCTTGGATTGAAAATGTATAAAATTTACTATGAATAAAAGCATGAATAAATAAATAAATAAAAAATGAAACTAGTTTAGATGGTTATTTTTGCAGTTATAATCCTGTATAAGGCATCCAGTTATAATTTTTATACGTTTTGTTCTTGCATAATTGAAAATATGATACTAGTAACAATGATTTCAAAACCGGTCAAATAAAGTAGCAAAGCTATAAACAATTTTTTCGCAGTACATAATTACTTTCTAAATAGAATAAAATGTGTTGAAAAATACGATTATTGTACTGTGTCTTGATTGATACAGCCACAATATATATATAGTAAACAGTTGCCAAGGAGACGGAATATAGGGCTGGAGAGGGGGGAATATAAATCTCCATTGTTTCTAGTTTACTACAAGGATTATTGTTGGGGTAAGATTGGCGGAAGAAACGACAAGAACTTGCTGTTCAAAGAGCTCTTTTGAGCCCGATAAATACACATGTACAGAAAGGTCTGAAGAAGGAATCTTGTCGAGAGGGATTTGAGATAATTACGAAGATTTACATACACAAAAACAAAACAAGTACTCCATACGCATTCGTTTCGATCAATCGGACGAAAACTAGAGTTTAAGGCAAAGAACAAAGCTTTCTAGGTGGCTATTCCCTCTATACATCAAGTAAGTTATACATACGCTTAGCAGAGGTCCTCGTCCAATCGAGGTCGTTCCCAGGGGTAGAACTGTGCTTTTTCCTCCATCGATTGGCCTCAAAGCGAACTGGCTATTCGACATCGCGGTGGAATAAGTTCAACGACCAATATGGTGTCCTTTTTAGGGAAGAGAGAGACTTAAAAGGCCACCATTTTGGGAAAATTTGGTCGGGATCAATGACTCTAATCGATGAGACTATTTACACGATGGCTTGGGGTAAACTAAGCCAATCAAAATGCGTGTTAGAAAATRACCAGCCAATAAAACGAGTCGTTAGATTCAGTGCTGATATCAATGACAAGAGCTCCAGACGGCTTTGTTTTTGCTAAAGGACTAGAGTTGATTTTCACATCCTAGGAATTATCACTTGAACCGAAAGAACATGTCCAGAATTTCGATTTTACGCTATAAAAAAAATCATAACTCCATATGCAGAGATATTTCCACACGGTAATTGAATTTTGAATTTGAGTAAAATTTACATTTAAAGTCGATATATATTCGTTTTCTTGTCAGTACATTTATGCTTAAACTTCAGGTCACTGTGAGGCTCAGTTGAGGCTCAGCTTTCAGAAATGTTAACTATTGTAAGCAGATAGCTATCATCGATTATTTGTGTACTTGTTTATCCTTAGGGCTTAACAGGTAGTTTATATAAGTCCTCTATGATTTGAGGTTTGTAGTTAAGATTTACCAAAAATCTTCATATTCGTCGCACCCTTATTTTCTCGGTATAGAGATTTTGCTCATTACACACAGTTAGTGACATTCTCTTCCCTTGGCCAAGATTTTAAAGTCGCCTACCCTTATTTCTTTTTTAGCTTTGCGTTCTTGACGAATCGTGGCCAGCTTCTGTCAATTTTATTAGTTTACATACAATCAATGATTACAATAGGTTTACATTAGCATAGCGCATGCTGCCTAAGTTGACAGAATAATTATTCAGTCTGGAGACTTCTGGGTTTGCAGCAGCACCTCCATCGGAAGCGTACGTCAGGTCAACCAAGAGACCAGAGCATTTCGCTGCACACCGACATGGTTGAGACAGCCGAAAAAGCGGAGGAAACTGAACCCTTCAGGCAGAAAGAAGAGGTAGAGTATCATCCAGCGAATTCGAAAGCGGAACAAGAACCTCTCGAGGATCAACGGCTTCGAATCCGAGTCGTAATCCTGGTGGCTGCTGTTTTGGTTCTCATCGGAGCCGCCTTTACCGTTGGATACGTTGTTCGACGTTGTGGCAGACGGCCTCATCCGATTGATATCGACGAACTCGCTCGAGACGCCATTGAAAATATTTCTACATCGAACATTCAGGATCAACTGAGGTAAATTCCAGCAGAAAAACACTGTCAACTGACACCTTTTAACAGTCTAACTAAAAATTATCTAGGCCTTCCCAACCCTAGATTTTCGAAATCAAAGGTCGTTGCATGCAGCTTCGGTGCTGGGGAAAAAGTTAAATTTGTGAAATTGGGAGAGAGCGATTTTTTTTATTATTTTCAACTTCAAGACCTCCGCATATCCATGTATATTGATAAGGAACCTTAGTTGAGATTTTATCTTAGTTGTCTTTTGGTGAACGCCTGAATTGAACCCGAATTTTAATTAGGAAAATTAATCCCAATACTTCAGAAATGAAAAAGAAATTTAAACCATCAATATTTTTAAAGATAGGCAATAGAGCTTTCCTGGAAAATATATGAATTGGATTAGTCGGTTATGGTCGGAAGAAACTATGTGAAAAATTTTTTGTCATGGATTTTGAGGATTGGTGATTTAGTTTACATACTAAGTTGAGATCACTCAGGGATCGGTCGCAAATATTAGTTTGATTGAGTTCCCATCGCTAACTTGCATATTCTATTTTATATTTCTGCGCCTTTTGACAGGCCTTTGCAATCATCTTTACTTTGCTTCCTATTGGCTCAAAACTTCATCTGGTGAACGCCTTTTTTGTGAAGAAACATCTGCCTGTTTGTTGTGAATTTGAAATTATGACCAACCCTACTCCATGATCCAGGGGCATTTAATTGATATATTCAACCAACGACTTCTTTAAAAATATAAAATTCAAGACGTTTATGTTGACTACAAACACCGTTTGTCACTTCGACAACATCTATACTAACAAAAACCCAACGTCTTTCTTATCCTAAAACACCTCAATTACGGAATAACAAGATATTTTCGGAACTAGTTATATGTAAAGGTCGATGAGTCCGTATTGAGGCAAAAACCATCGTTTTTAACCAAAGCAAGACAATTTTTTACTTCGATGTTCTAGTAATGTCGTTTTACAAAGTGATTTATTGTTATGATCGATATGTTATGATATGCAACGTTGCACACTGACAATCTCGAAAATGGCGTTCTTTTTACAGCGAATATTTGCTCTATAAAAACAGACGTCAGTAGAAAATTATTGATCTGCTTCGGAATCCGAGGAAGCTATAGAAGCCTTATAGCTCCAAAAAGAAAGAGGGAAAATAAATCTGTTAACATTAGCAGGGTTGTTTTCGAAAAAGTTTCATATACCATGTGTTCGACATCGTATCCTCGCTGGAAAAAAAACTATCAAAGTGTCTCCAAAAATAGGAAGTTTTCTTGAAGGAAAAACTTGTTGTCATTTGAGTTGTCAAACTCGTTGCCTTTAAATTACTGCTGCTATTATATCTAGCTCTAGCAATTTTGGGTCTTCATAAGACAGCAGCCTGCATGTGGTGACAGCATGGTTGAAGGCGGCGGATGTCGTAAGAACTTCACTCAACCAAAAAAAAGATGGCGCTAAAAGTTCACCCAGTAAAACGCAAATAAGTGTTTCTGTCACACGGCTCTACGCTTCAGTAGAGCCGAACAGTCCTATCGCTTTTTTTGTAGCTGAAATTAAAAGTAGATAGAAATAAATTCTGACCGAATTTTCATTTTTGTCAATGCAGGTATTTTACTAGAACTCCTCATTTGGGCGGGTCGAAAGAGAGCAAAGAGCAAGCTGAATACATACAAAAGGAGTGGCAGAATTACGGACTGGATAGAGTAGAATTAAAGAAGTACGATGTGGTTTTTTCTTTGCCACAAAAGCCTGGTTTAGCGCGAATTGTGAACGTCAATGGAACTGAAATTTTTCAAGCAAGTCAGAAAGAGACGCTGTTAGATGGCGAGAAGGATGRTAGGATTCTTTCACCGTTTAATGCTTTTTCTGGCTCCGACAACGTGACGGTAGGTTAGGTTGTATTAATTACCTAAGTCACACTGCAGAGATTTAACGGCGATCGATTTATAAACGCCGCCCTAATCGACCACCGAAAACCGATCGACCGACTAGCAGCTTCACTGAACGACATCCAAATATTCAATATATGACTAGTGACAAGTTTGACTGGACGACCACCAACTAATAAAGATTTAACTAATTACAGTTTGACTGATCGACCACAGACAATGCGAAATCCGACCAACGTACAGATCGACCGATCAATTCATGGTTCCGACAAGCTCCCCTTAGTTACCGTTGCTATGTGGCACAAGCTTAACAAATTATCTAGAGTATCTCAGAATTTAAAACTCTGATCGCGGAATATTGATTATAAATTGTTTCAATTGTTTACTGTCTCGTAATCCTTGTAGTACTCTTTAAAACAAATGTTGTTGAGTTGTTCCTGGGGCAATATTTTTATTCCATTGGGAAAACTGCTGCAACGGTGTTTGATTCACTATTGTCTGAGTCGGAATTAGGAATTGACTGATTTACAAACTTGCTGCTATTCAAAGAAAGTTGAGTGTTGTCATCTAAGGACTAAAAACAAATGGATCGACACCTTAGAGACGTGGACAACGACCAGGCTGTGCTTGGATGGTATAGTTAGCATCCTAAACTTGGGCAGAGATGACACTGATACATCCATGTTCCTAAGCAGGGCGTCTTTTAAGTTTTTAAACGTCCCAATCCTTAATGATTTTCTCTTCCTTTCAGGCTCCCTTGGCGTTCGTTAACTATGCTCGTCTCGAGGATTTTCAAAAGTTAAAAGAACTTGGARTCAGTGTTGCTGGTCACATCGTGATTGCTAAATATGGCAAGATCTTCCGTGGTGATAAGGTACAACACTTTTGGAATATTTTTTCATAATTATTATGACAAACACTTACAGTAAACTTCCTTAGTCGAATCGGAATTTGAAAGAGTAATAGAGCGCGCTGTGATTGGATACTGTTAGTTTCAAGCTATTTGATTGGTTCTGCCTAGGCGAAAGTCAGAGGCGCGGGAAAAAAAGACTTTACTTAATCGTCATCTGAAGCAACCTCTGGGATGATGTATTTCAGGGCACGGTTAACTTACACTGAGCTCGAATAGGCATTTAGCGTGTTGGGATTTCTAAACGAAGCAAAACTGGAGAAAACCGCTCGAATGAAGGATCGGAGAGACCCAACGCAAAGGAATCGAACCTGACACCTCAGAGCGAGTGAACGGGGAGCGACTGAGCGAGTGAACGGCTACCGTCACCATTGATTGCCAAAAACGCAAATAAGTCATAATTTTCACACCGAAAATTTTCGGAACATCTGCAACGAAAAAAATGCTGGTTTATGGCACGGTAATGTAAGTCAATAAGTAAGGAAATATTTATTTTWAAAAATTCTTATTAATTTTGCGGTAAAGGCTACACATGGTCTATTATTTTGTCTAGCTCGGGGTTGGAAATGAAAAATGAGTGAAATTACGTTATTTATTCACGACAGAGCATGTAGAGAGCTCTGCGAGTTATTTAAAAATGAAAGAAGAAATGAATTATGAATAGAAAAACACACAAAACAAAACAAAAAACCCCGAATTTATATGCAAAATATGTCTATATAACTGCGTCATCAAAAGATTTCAAGATAAATTTAAAATGCTGCCCTACACTGAAAAGCAGTTTTCTAAAAAGAAAAAAGAAAAAGAAAGAAAAAATGACGAATTAAGATAGGAAAAATAAAGACCAAAAAAATATATATACATAAATAAATAAAGGAAAGAAAAGAAAAATGGAATGAGTGGGATTAAACACCTAGCTTAACAGAAAATTGGACAAAAACTGGGGGGAAAAGGCACGAAAATACCGCGCGAAATTTGTTTATTTATTCATTTTTTCCTCGGTTAATTCTTCTTAAGCCTTGTAGATATTTTGTCCCGTTGAACAATATGAATGTTTAATATCTCGGAAGGCGAACATTCATGCTTAAGCCGCAGAAAAATCTAGAGATTTTAGATTAAGAAAACATCAGTTAATGAGAGTCAATTCAGCCATTTGCATAAAGAGAAATCTAGCTCTGGGTTTTGCTCTTCATTATTCGCAAATGTTGTTTTATATTTACAAGCCTCGGTCTTATTTTCGTTAAACGTTTTACTAAAAAAGCAGCTCCAAAAACTAACAAACGATCTCCGGTAATATACGATTCTAAATTTTTGATCTGTGAGTTAGTCCTGACTTTGGTCTGTAGGTAAATTTGAAGGTTTTCGTTCAAAATTTTCCATAATTATCTAAAATTTTACCACACACAGAAAATAAAAGTAATATATATATATATATTTCAATACACATGAAATAAGTACCCAATTTATTCTGTTCCGCTGCGCTATTTATTTCATTTGTATTAAAAATGTTATTATTACTTACTTCGCGTCATTTTATTTTACTTTATGTGTGTGTGTGTGTGTGGTAAAATTTCTATATTTGATCATGAGTACACAAACTAAATTCATTTACTATCACAATTCGTCAGTGGCTGATCAATTGCCCTGTTAAGTAAGCCAGATAATAAGCTTATCTTGTGAAGTATTAAGAGTTGGTGTGTTTTTCTTAATTGCCATAAAGGAAGTCGTTCGACAAGTCCTATTGGATATTCAGTTAACGATGAACGAGCTACGAAAAGATGGTCTGCAATCACTTGGTTTTGAGTGGAATTGCCACTTGTAACTTAAAATGGAACCCATGCTTCAGTCTGATTGGCTAATTGATATGCCAGAGTGTTCTTGTCCTATATTCATTATTTATAAAACACAAGAGGCGGATGAGTGAACGGAAACGATCTTCTTGGAAACGTACGGATTCGAATGTTCCATTTGAATAACTTCGATTTTGTCTATTAACCATCCATGGATGTTACACTTTATGTCATTGTTTATCAACAGATCAATTTTTGTATCACTCTTGTGACTCATAGCATTTTGATGTTAATCAGCTGCCAATGACTTCGAGCGAGTAGGCGGTTAATCCTAATTTGAGTATCAGCCGTGCCCTGAATTTGATTAGACTAGTTTTTTCGAGGTTCGATAAAATCGATGTTATTGTTCTTGAGATATTCGTACAATTTCAAATACTATTAATACAGATTTACACTCAGATATATGATTCACACGATCGATAATGCAACTGAGGTGTTTCCGAGCGGAATAAACTGATAATTTTTTTCTGATATTCAGGAGAAGCTTGCACGCGAAGCGGGCGCGGTTGGACTGATACTCTACACTGATCCTAAGGACTACAGCCCAGGAGTATCACGCAACCACACCTACCCTAAAACCTGGTGGCTCCCCTCATCAGGGGTCCAGAGCGGCACTCTGTTTGTGGGAGATGGGGACCTCGAGACTCCAGGATATCCCTCCATTGGTGAGTACATCGATATATTTTTTTCACTGTCCTTTACTTGATCCTGTTTGGGGAATTTTGAAGCCGTGACCAACGGTCCCAACATCACCCAACATTCATCTAACGTTTTCGGCAACATATTGGCATATTTTTGTGTCGGGAAAAAACAGCAAGCATGACAAATAAACCCAAACAAACCCTGTCATAAATTAGAGGCTTTTATCCTTGATTATTGTTGTGTGTCTCTAGATGGTATGTATCGAAGTCCTATCAACGAGTCCCAGCTGCCAAAGCTTCCAGTTTACCCTGTGTCCAGCGATGATGCTAAGCACTTCTTAGGGTAGGTTGACTCAAACTGATGCACTGCGAGTAAAGCTTTGCTTCACCTGTAGCTCACCGAACGATCCATAGTTGAACTTATAACCAAAGACGCTTGCTTAACTCAAACACACACACCTTAGCGACTTACAGTTGTCTAGCAACTAACTTTACGTAGCAACATCTTTATATTCCCTTTTATTTATTTTAAATTTCTCAACAGGTTGCTAACAAAAAATAAGGCACCAGCGGACTGGCAAGGGGGACTACCGACGACCTATAACATCAATATGGCATCATCTAATAACACGTATGAAAAGAAAACGTAGTAATCTGATACTTCCAAACTTGACGATTTACCCAAATAACTTTAGGCTTATCAATTAAAAAAAATTCAAAATACACTTAGCCAGACAATCCACCAGCACAGGTCATCGCTCAAAGTTGGTATATTTAGATATTACCTTGTTGCGAACTACTAAATAAAAATACAAAACCATTCAGATCTAATAGCAGACAATTCATTCCCGTCTCAGATTTTAGATCTCTGACCGACAACTTTCATTAAAATAGATGTATGCGTGTCTGTGATAGAGGGGGAAGGGG